TTAATATAAAATTCTTGTGTTTATAAAAAAAATGCAAACAGTTTCAATGTGTTTGTATTTTTCCTTTTCAGCTTTTCAATTATAAAAAGAATCTCTGATAGATTGATTCATTCAGTTATGTAAATACAAAGAAAAAGTTGAGATTTATACTTGGGGTTATATATTAATTATTTATCTTTAAGTAATTTAATGAAAAAAAAATTTTTTGGATTCTAATTTACATCCATCTATTTTAACTTGATAGGATATCATTTACATTAGTTTCTCGAATGACAGATTCTTCGACCAATCTATGTTCATAAAATCAATATTTTCAGAAATATTGAATACATGACGGCTCTTTACAGTGGAACATAAAATCATAACAAGATCGAGATATAATATCAAATAGAAATCATTTCATGAAAAGTCATAATGACTTCTACTTGATATCATCTTATTGTGATTTCATATTTTGGATACAAGTCGGCTATCTTTAGAAACACTTTAATTAAAATCCATCATATTTTATTATTTAAAATTCCTACTAATACTTACAATAATAATACTTACAAGGGAACGGTCAGAACTGTCCCTCACCGATTTTGATGAGCTTTGAATATGTTGTAGATCAAAAAATATTTGATCCATATTTTTTTATAGCGGCTTATCTCGAGGTTTAGGGGGTGAAACACCCCCTTGAAAAAATAGATTTTTTCGTTTTCAGCAAATATCTTCGAAACTATGCCGCGTATAAAAAAATGGTTTATACAATAGTTTTACAATATTTTATGCTGTATATAAGTGTATTCATTTTTTTTTAAAATCAAATTTTTCAATTAATCCCCACCCCCATTTATTAGGGTTGCAAAATTTAAAAAAATTAAAGATAAGTTTCGAAGATATTTGCTGAAAACGAAAAAATCTATTTTTTCAAGGGGGTGTTTCACCCCCTAAACCTCGAGATAAGCCGCTATAAAAAAATATGGGTCGAATATTTTTTAATGCTCTACAACATATCCAAAGCGCATCAAAATCAGTGAGGGACAATTCTGACCGTTCCCTTGTTAGTATCTTCTAATAATTGTATTAGCAGTGTAAAAAGATTATTTAAAAAGACCCAGAAAATGTAATGATTGTCGCTCAGAGATAGCGATTTTGTTGCCCCTTTGAGGTATGCAGCTAGCATATACGACACTCATTATCGGCTAAAATTACATTCACGATCGCCATAAGACAATCGTTGCTGTATTTCGCGTTCGATTGTCATCGACTCAATGCGGTTTTCCATGTGGTCGCTCATAGCATATCCGTAATTCAGATTATGAGACTCGCAATTTTGAACGGGTCCGCCGAAATCGTAAGATCATCATAACGCTTTCCCTCGATAACACAGGTATTGTCATTTATAAAAATAATAATAAATCTACGCAAATTACGATATATTTCACATATAGTATATGCATGTCCGTTCCTTTATACGTATGATAAAAGAAAAGAAAACTTGTGCGATTTCGGCGTCTATGTATATATGATACACACACACGCACGCACGCACGCACGCACACACACATACATGTATACATATATAGTCGCGGCCACGTAAATCAGTTATTTATTCGGCACATCGCATCATCCACCGCTTTTACATACATGCATACATACAAATAAACGATGTATCACACACACTCATGATTTTTTTCTTTTCATTATTTGTGAATAATAGCAACATTGTCCTTGCTTGTCGCGTACCTACACGTACTCACAATACACACAAAACGCACATACATACGTATATACTGTTCTGGCCATTAAGCGTAGACAATAAAAATTCATCATTACGTGGCTTCGATTTATCTCCTGCTCGCGCGCTTATTTCCGTTCGACGTCGCTACGTAAACCTCTCGAAATCAGAAAAGAAGGGCATACCCTTCTTTTAGAAGGAGCAAGGCTTCTTCTCTTTTATGGAAAAAGGGAGGAAAAGAGGAAGGGGGAAAAAAGATAGGCATGAATATGCTAATTACTCGTTATATTCACCTCCATTTGACTTTGTGCCGGATGTGAACATTTCAGTTTCACGAAAGTTTGATAAATAATACTTAATCGCAAAGAGATGCTTCCCTCTTTTTCGGATTCTCTCTCTCTCTTCCG